TGTTAGATTCTGCTTTAAGGAATGTCAAAGGAAATGTCTGAATACAGAGAAAAGACACAAACAAAATCAAAAGTTAAGCTGCTTAGGCTGGAATTAGTGAAATGTCAAAAATGCTTTACTTAAATCCATGAAAGACAAGCCTTTTACAAAGGCTTCATGCTGGAGTATATGTGAATAATAAAGGCAAAACAGGTTTTTGTTTTTGTTTTGAATGCAGTGCTGGATAAATGTCTCTATTTTGCCTAATAAAGTCCCCACAAGTCCACAGACCCAGGGCATGTCTATAGCTCTGTTGGGAAAGTCACCATCCCCAGAAGTTACCCCAAAATGACTCTCTCCAAGACACCTAAAAACCTTCCAGCTGTCTTTACTTTCATCTCATTGTGTCCCCAAATAGCATTAGATTCTCAAGCATATAAATAAGCAGAACAGAAGCATGATAATTATGTCACATAAATTATAGGCAGCCAAATGTCATGTAACCTCAGAGTTTCTTGAGGTCAATGATCAATATTTATAGAACTCTATCACAGTCTAGTGTGTCATGTCCATCAGAAAGATTTACTCCACTCACTGATGAAAATAAACACTTTAATAAGTCATAGTATGGAATCTAACTTCTTCATTAACTCAAGGGACTTTTCCAGCCGGAGTCCACAAAGGAATGGAAGTTACCTTCTCCAGAAATCCTATTGGTTACAGGTCAATCATTTGTGATTATTACATAGTTGAATAAAGTGGATATTTGAGGTAATGAACCAAGTAGTGGAAACTAATATTTGTATACTTTAGGTAAAGTGGCTTTAAGCCAGAATTATCTAGGGTTGTCTCTATTCTCAATTTCAAAACCCATGCATTGTTTCTATAATGAGCTGTCTCAGCTTTGAGCTCGTTTCCCAGTACTCTGTCTTGCCCCAAATCCTGGTCAGTCCTGAGCAGTTATAAAGTTTTACCCTGTCCTCACATGTTATAAAAATCTCCAAACTTTGTGAAACTAGCTTTGTGTTAGAACAGTACTGAAGAATTAAAGCCAAGAAAGTATGCTGTTATAGATTCTAATAACACTTTTTTCTAGTGAGTAATCTCAACTAGATCATTTTAGTGAAGAGTGTGTAAGAAGGTTTCAGTTCACTTTAAAGCCTAGCTAGTGTTTACTGAGCACTTATTAAGTGCCAGATGCTACCTGACTTGTAGGCCAACCCTATAGTGGATACTTTATTACCCTCATTTTACAGTTAAAGAAACCAAGTCTCAGAGTAGTTAAAAATCTTTCCCGTGGTGCCACCAATTTGAAGTGTCTGAGTTAGGATTCAGTCTCCCATCTGAGTTACCCAGGGCCTGGAACTCTTCCTCAGTTAAATTATTATCGTTGTTGTCACTGCTACTGTTGTCATGAATGAGAAGGAACTGATTGTATTTTCAAGGAAGTTTCCAGCATCTTGGAGATGAGGACCTCTCAAGGTCAGGCCTGACTGGAATCCTTCTCCTAGTCCCACGTAGCTGCAGAGGCAGGCAGCGTTCACAGGAACCACCATGAAACTAGTACCAGCAGTAATTCAGGATTTACAGTGTTTGAAATCAGGGAGCCAAGACACATGCCTAAGGGTCAGGGAGATGTCCCTAATTGTATTAGACCCATTTTCACATGGCCATAAAGATACCACCTGAGACTAGGTAACTTATAAACAAAAGAGGCTTAATTGACTCACAGTTCTGCATGGCTGAAGAGACTTTGGGAAACTTACAATCATGGTGGAAGGCAAAGGGAAAGGAAGGCATGTCTTACATGGTGCCAGGAGAGAGAGAGTGAGGAAATGCCACACTTGAAACCATCAGCTCTCATGAGAACTCACTATCACCAAAACAGCATGGGGGAAACTGCCCCTATGATCCAATCACCTCCCCCCAGGTCCCTCCCTTGACACGTGGGGATTACAATTCAAGATGAGATTTGGGTGGAGACACAGAGCCAAACCATATCACTAACCTAACTAAGTTCCAGGCACTGCAGATCATTTATTTCTTGAGTATTCACAACTTTGGATAAATTAGGTATGCTGGTCCAATTTACCTTTGACTTAAGGGTCATTAGCATTTGAAGAGACAGAATTTGAATCCAGATCTAGCCTGTTTCATGATATATAGAGAGAGAGAGCAGGTGGGGAGGAAGAATAGATTCTTGAAGTCTGGCCTTCCCAGGCTACACCCTTTCTTCCACTCTGGACTCTGGGTATCATCTGTTACCCACATCTTCTAGAAGACCCAAGGTGGAAGAGAAGAGAATGGTCAAGAAATATACCCAAGGCCTTCCATCTCAGGCAAAGGGTATTCACAGATTATACGTGTAGTGCAAATGCACTTATAGGAAAGGTACAACCTCTAAATCTCTGGGGCCTTGGGTTCTTAGGTTCTATGGGCATCCTTTCCTCATCTGTAAAATGAGCACATTGAATTACATGCTCTCCAGAGCCCTGCCATGATAGTATCGATTCTCTTCCACCATAGGCAATGTTGGGACGAAACAACGGGGAGTCCTCCAGGAAGAAGGATGAAGAGGAAGTTCAGAGCAGGCACCGGTTAATCCCCCTCGGCAGAAAAATCTATGAATTCTACAATGCACCCATCGTGAAGTTCTGGTTCTACACAGTAAGCACATTTCCTTTTCTCCTTCCTAGTGGATGGCCACAAGGAGCCAATGTCCATTTCTCATGCACCTGTGTGGTTTTCTCTGCAAGTCGTAAGTGCCACGCACACAGGAGGGAAAGTTCTGTGACCTTGCTTTTTCAATAGCTTTGCAAGATTTGTGGCGTTTTGTTAGGCAGCTTTCACAGGCCGCATTTTGCCTCCTTTCAGAAAATAGAGGAAATGGTGGAGGTGAGAACTAACAAACAGAAATAGAGGTGAGATGAGTATGAGTCTTGTCTAACAGGAAAGTAGATACGCTTTTCTGAAATACTTGGTGTTTTGAATGGATGAGGGCTAGATCACAGTTGCCCATTTTAGATGCCAGTCCTGGATTTGGGGCTACTTTTGGCAGGTAAGGAGTGAGGAGAGTGTGGAAGTAACACCACTAAAGAAGGCAGTGTGTGTGCGTGTGTGTGTGTAACTACTCCCAATCTGCTAGTGTCATCAAACAACCTTTCTTGTTCCAACACAATTAACAATATGCAAACCACAGCAGCAAAAACTACTCAAAGGAAACCTACAATCATGGCTAATATTGCTTAGTATGCACATCATGTAACCATTTTCTGCCTACAAAAGAGTGGATTGTCCTTGAAATGACCTTCTGATATGGTAGAAATGGTTCAATTATTGGTTCTCCACATCTACTGTTCAGAGATTTTTTTTTTAAGGTGAGCTTTTGGCCCAGGTCATCTCTGAATCTTTCCAGCCACAGTGGAACTGTGCCAGATGAAGGATAGTGCATCTGTATTTTTAGCCCTTGCCACAACCAGCTGCATGGCAGTCATTTGAGTCAGCAACAGGATAATCTGAATCTGAGGCCAAAATGACTCAAATGACCAGATGAGGTGCTTTTCATGTGGTCCTGTGTGCTAACACTTAACATTGACTTTAAAGTTTGGTTTCTCTACTTCAGTGCTATTAACATTTAGAGCAGGATAATTCTTCATTGTGGGGGGCTGCCCTCAACAGGTAGCATGTTTTACAGCATGCCTGGCCTCTACTCAGTGGCAACTCTTCATCCCCCAAGTATGACAAGCAAAATGTCTCCAGACATTGCTAAATGTCCCCTTGTGGGATAAAATTGCCACCATTCAGAAACTACCACTTTGAAGTGTGGTCTTGAGAGAGGATAGGATATTATCAAAATATAAATATTAGATGTTTTCAGTGAAGTAAAAATTCAAATTTATCAATGGTAGGAAAAGAGAAAAATTATCTCCCCCCAAAAATAACTGAGGCATGCAAAAATCATTTCTATTCATATATTTTATACAGCTCTATATTATTTTTAACCTTGCAGAAAACAGCTTAGTGGTGACAAGCATGGACTTTGGAATCAGACAGCCTGGGTGGGAATCCCATCTGCACCTCTTACCATGTGCCCTCAAACAACTTAATTTCCCATTCTGTCCACAGTTTTCTTAAGATGCCAATAATAGTAGTTCCGATTTTATAGGATTTAATGAAGATTAAATGTGTTAAAACATATAAAGCACTTAGAACAGTTCCTTGACATGTAAGTACAACGTAACTGTGACTATTGTTTCTTCTAGGCTATTCACATTGCATAGTAATAGATAGTGTTGTGTTGTGTTCATCCATCCACTCAACAAAAATAATATCTTTTATTGAGCACCTACTATGTTTGAGGCAATGTTCTAGGTACTATTTAAGTACTCTCTCTAATCCTAACAACCATTTTATCAAGATAATATTTATTTATTTATTTATTTATTTAGGAGAGACAGGGTCTTACTCTGTCACCCAGACTGGAGTGCAGTGGTAAGAGCTTCACTCACTGCAACCTCCAACTCCTGGGTTCCAGTGATTCTCATGTCTCAGCCTCCCAAGTAGCTGGGATTACAGGTGTGTACCACCACACCCAGCTAATTTTTGTATTTTTAATAGGGATGGGGTTTTGCCATGTTGGCCAGGCTGGTCTCGAACTATGGGCCTGCCTCAGCCTCCCAAAGTGCTGGGATTATAGGCGATAGCCACTGCACCCAGCCTAAGACAACATTTTTGGAGCTATTTTACACCCAGGTCTGTCCTTCCTTTAATATTATGATACCCCAACTGTTAGCTTAGAACAGCGCTTGGCAAACTACAGCTCTCGGGCCAAATTCAACCCATGGCCTATAACTGTGGCCTGCAAACTAAGAATGGTTTTTACATTTTCAAAGGGTCAAAATAAAATTTAAAAAGGAATACTTGAGACATATATTCAAATTGTAGTGTCCATAAATAATTGGAGCACAGGCAGACTCTTAATTTCTGTTAAGGGAATTTAATTGAGCAATGAACAATTCATGAATGGGACAGCCTTCCAAGCCAGAGGAGGCTCAGGGATTCCAGCAGGGCCACGTGGTGGAAGATTTATGGACAGAAAAAGGGAAGTGGCATACGAAAATGGAAGTGACATACACAAACAGCTGGATTGGTTACAGCTCAGCATTTGCCTTTTGTGAACACATTTTGAGCAGTTGGCTACATTTGATTGACTGAAATTCAGTGATTGGTCTTGTTACACCTTCATTTGTTATAGTTCACAACGTACAGAGAAAACTTTAGGCTGAACTTAAAATATGTAAGGAGGCAGCTTTAGGCTAAACCTCAGTTAACATTACCAGTAGGCTGCCTGCTTTTGTGCTACCACATCGAGTTAATGAGTGGTGAGAGACAGAGAGAGACTATCAGGTCTACAAAGCCTTAAAAGTTAACCAGTTGGCCATTTGCAGAAAAAGTTTACAGACTGCTGAGAGCAGAAATCAGTAGACGTAATAGTATCAACATTTCTAAAACTTCCATGATGACAAGGGCGTTTTGTTAGAAATGCAAATTTCTAGCCCCATCATAGACCCATGGAATCAAATCTTCATAAAGGAGCCTAAGAGGCTGTGTTAGTTTAACCAGCTTCCCAGGCGAAACTTGTGATTAGAGATGCTTGAGACACGCTGCTTTGCTTATGTCATTGGCAGCTTGTTGGGAGGCTATCTCTTTGGGGGGTGGGGCCTGTGTGTCCAGCACTCTTCTGCATGGCTGACTTGGCCTCAGCAAATCCATCAGACTGGATCCCCCAGATTCGTTCAGTTGTGTTTTCATGATTCTCCAAAATTCATCGTCACGTATTGACAAAGCCCAGGCCTCGAGGAAGTGATCGGATATGAGGTATGCCAGTCTTTTGAATCACCAGAGATGCCTAACAATACAATTCAGTTTCAGATTGAAGGTCCCAGGTACTTTGGGCTGTGTTTTTCTCTGTAAGAGTATTTCTCACCAGATTTCCAAAAATGGTCTGTCCTACTCTCCCAAGTTTCTGAAAGGTAGGACACACCTCATTTCCATGTAACCTCACTTCTGCATTGTAGCAAGTTTCTCTAGGAGTAGGTTGGGTCCTCTTCTGGTCCGAGAAGAAAGCAGGCAGGGGTCCAGCTGGCTCCTCGACCCTGCTTGTGTTGGGAGCCTATTTCAGGTATCTGGCTGGAGAGGATTCAAATTCAAAGTGTGAAGTGGCTGTAGGTCAGAGGACACAGTGCGTACTCTGAGTTTCTCTAGCAGTGACCAACTCTATCTTCTATGAGACCATGTGCCCTTCTGCTCTCCAGAGGTAGTAGAAAAAAGCCCAGGTAGAAGTGAGGAAGAGCAAAGCCCCACCAGGGATCCATAGCAAGCTGTGGCAGGCTTTGGTGCTTGTGTTTGACAGGTTAAGAAGCATGAATCTTAGTTAACGGAAAATGCATTGAAAGATTATATGTTAATAAAATACAAATTCTTAGAGTTCTCCCACTGACTTAAATAAGACTCATAGGTTCAAAAGCTTGGACATTCTACATACAGATTGTTAAAGCTTACAGAATATATATATACACACACATACAATTAAAGCATGCCATGTCAAGATAATCTACAGCAAGGCTGCATGAATGTTGGTGAGTTCTGTGATAGGCTGCTTCCAAGACAGCAGCCAGTCCTCCGTTGTGCCATCTAAACATAAGACCCTATTTTCAGAAGTCTGTATTTTGAGAGTTGTACCAAAATATTATATTATAGCTTGACTATGGAAAAAGTTCATTATAGAGTAACTGTGATGTAAAAACCAGGCAGGGGCTAAAAATGATGAATGTGGAGGAAGCATAACCAATAATGAGGGCAATTTTAAAAAGAAAAAAAAAGGGGAGAGGTGTGAATTGTTAATTGGGGATCAAAGGGAAGTAAGGACTAAGGGAAGAGGAGACAAAAAGAATAACAGAAGCATCTTGGAAAAAAAAAAAAAGGTGGATATTAGCCAGCATTTATTGGGTCTCTACAGTGTGTTGGGAGAGACAGACAGACAGACAGATAGATATATAGATCCCCAGTGATTACAAAGGCTCTATAAGGAAAGTGGAAGTGATCCCATGTTACAGAATGGAGGCCCAGGAAGGTTAACCTTACAAAAGATGATACGTCTAGGAAGTATGTGAGCTGGAATTTAAATCCAAGCTTCATTGATACCTATGCCTACCTTCCTTCCACTAAACACATTAGATTTGTATTCAGAGGACAGATGTAGGTTCAAGGAGTTACTTACGTACTAAAATGCAGAGGTTCTGGAAGAATGTGCATGTCACTGGGCCTACATATGAAAAGAGAAGATAATGCTTTGGAATGTTTTGCAATGAATTGGGCAAAATGATAAAACCAGGGCAGTTAACAATATTCATTTCCCCTATAAGTGATGGAATTTGACCCAACTAAGAGAAGGAAGCAAGGAGAGAGAAGGATTTTAAGTCAGAAGGAGGCTGAGAGTATATTTTAGAGTTCTAACCACTGAAGTCCTTTTTTTGTTTTTTGCAGTCTGTACTCACAGGACTACAGAATTAATGCCAGTGTATTATAATGGTAAACGGAAACCATATGAACCAAGTTCCATTTTGAACTGATTTTTAAACAGCGTCCTACACAATTTTAAGTAAACTCTTTCATGAGAAGTTTTCATGATTTGCCAATGCTCCTGAAGATGGGGAGGGGTAGGAACCTAGGCATAGGTTGAAATGATAGGCCCTGGGGGGTGGGGGGATGCCAGCACAAACCATGCAGGTAGAGAGTGAGCCCAGATGTCCAGCTCTCATAGTGATCTTATTTAACTCCGACCTACTTCACCCTTTAAGTGATGAACTTGAGGTCAGGAGTTCAAGACCAGCCTGGCCAACATGGTGAAACCCCTGTCTCTACTAAAAATACAAAAATTAGCCAGACACAGTGGCAGGTACCTGTAATCCCAGCTACTAGGGGGGCTGAGGCACAGGAATCGCTTGAACCCACAAAGAGGAGATTTGCAGACAGCCAGGATCACAGCACTGCACTCCAGCCTGAGCAATAGAGTGAGACTCAGTCTCCAAAAAAAAAAAAAGAATCCATTCATTCACCCGGGCATGGTGGCTCAAGCCTGTAATCCCAGCACTTTGGGAGGCCACGCTGGGGGGATCTCTTCAGCCCAGGAGTTTGAGATCAGTCTGGCCAACAAAGTGAGATGCTGTCTCTACTAAAAATACAAAAACCTAGCTGGCTGTGGTGGCACATGCCTATCGTCCCAGCTACCCAGGAGGCTGGAGTAGGAGAATCACCTGAGCCCAGGAAGTCAATGCTACAAGAAGCCAAGATCACAATGCCACTGCACTCCAGCCTGGGCGACGGGAGTGAGACTCTGTCTCAAAACATAAGAGAATCCTTCTATTAGAAAAGGAAAGGGGGAGGTAGAGAGGGAGAGAGGAAGTTTTCTTAGTAGAGAAAGCAGCATATCCCCCAGAGAGGCTGCAGCTTCGTCCACCTTCTAAGCTGCCTTCCCAGCTCCAAAGTCACGCTGTACCTCCAGACCCCTCAAGGCCTCAATCCTTTCACCCACAATGTGTCTATTCTTTGGTACAACCACTCTGAAGAGTGCAGCAGATTTAATAAACTCCCTCTTGGTTCCTGCTCACGGCCTCTGAGGCCCCTAAGGCCAGTGAGAACCTCACTCAACTTGCGGCATTGCCTAAGGAAGGCCCAGCTAGTCTGCCATTTCCCTTAAGGTGAGTCTTCGCTCAAGGCTCCTCAGTCCCTTATGCAAGAGCCTCACCAGTTTCCCTGCACTTCACTCACCTTGACACAACTGAATCTTCCAAGAACAGTCACCAAACCCTGGGGAGTCCTTCCCAGACATCCAGCAATTCAGCCAGTCACATCAGGATTCAACCCCAAAGAGCCAGAGCCTCTTGGGGATTAAACCCCATGCCCGTTCACAAAAGGCCACACAGACCCTTTCCTTTCTATAAATTGTGTCGTGTCTTGTGTTGTTTCAACGAAGCCGACACCAAGGAGGAATATTTTAACTTGGGTAAGGCAGGAAAGTGGTGAAATGAAAACACGTGAAACCCTGCCAGGGCACTGACAAACCAAACTCTTTAAGCCTGGGCTAATTTTCTGTTGGGTTGACCAGTTTACAGGTGTTACATGCGTCTTCCTTTTCTTCTCACAGACACTTATTCTGCCTGGCATTCATGAAGCAAAAATCCACTGTGCTGCCCTAGTTTAAGAACCTAAGGTCCACGCCTGAGCAAGAGCAGCCACTGACAGCCAAGGTTCCCTTTTTAGCCAAGAAAACACACACACAGAAATGGGTAACTGCAAGACGAAATGATGCATCATGACACACAGATTTAAGCAAAGCACCAGAGCCCCAGAGACACATGTACGGGTCAAAAGGAAGATTGCATAGTATAATCTTTCAAGTATTACTTTTCTAATTCTCTTGGTAGTTTAGCACCTTGAGTTCATTTTGTCATACATTCTGTGTCCTGTTTGCTGACCTTGTTCTGTGCTGCTGTGCAGTGGCCGTGGCTGATGCTGAGGCTCCTGGGCCTGAACAGCCAGACCACTGTATTGTATTTCCTTACAGCTGGCATATATCGGATACCTGATGCTCTTCAACTATATCGTGTTAGTGAAGATGGAACGCTGGCCGTCCACCCAGGAATGGATCGTCATCTCCTATATTTTCACCCTGGGAATAGAAAAGATGAGAGAGGTAACAGCTTTTATAAAATAAAACATAAGAGAAAGACAGTGGTTAAGTTCTGTCTGTGGACGGAGGGGACAGGAAGATGCCTGGGATGCAGATGATGCCGGAAACTGTTTTCTCTAATGCTACCACAGCTGCTGCTTAGCTCTGACAAACCTGGGAAGGCTCACAGTGTGGTGCTGATAGGGGTATAACTCCCTGAGTGCTTAGCATTTGGTCTATTCTCTGCTAACATAGCTTTTGTCCCAAGAAGGCCTCCAGTTGTTTTTGATGCCATTTGCATGTCTTTACTCATCCCTATAAACATGACTTTCTAGATTTTGCCACTTTTAACTCCCATTTCACCCCCTTATTCTGGGTGTCTTCGGACACAGCCTGCCAATACCTGTGACTCTCCAGATGTGTTTCGGCTTTTCTAGGAGGAACTCTGCTTTCACTCATTCATTGGATTTATTCTTTGGTTTATTTCTTCTCAACATTCTGCTCTCACCTGCTGGACACCAACCACTCTACCAGCGGTAGGGACCACCAAGGCGGACTGAACGCAGGTCCTTCGGGTTGTGGGTGCAGGGTCCCTCTTTTCTCCCCCAACTTCTATGGCCTAAAAGGAGCCCTCAAAATGCCACCCCTAAGTGGTTTATTTGAAATCAGAGCCAACCTCAGGGGCCCATCAGATTCAGAGCTGCTAAAAGAATGTGATCAAGCAAAAGTCCACAAGAGGGCTCTGCAGCCCCGCTCAATGTTCACCCCGCGCTCCTATTTCATGAGGGAAAGCCATTAGGGAAGAAAGGTTTAGGAGGTAGTGCTGATTTCTCTTTCCTGAAATGACAGTAAGCAGGGCAGGCCCTTTCTGGAGGAAATACTCCCATTCAAGTCCACTGAGTCTTTAAGAGCTCAGGAACAACCCTAATTGCTGTACTACAGCAGGTGGGAAAACATACTGGGCACCATAGGAAAAACGGACTCCTACAAATCCACAACTTCACTCTTGCCTTCATTACAAAGACAGGTTAAAAGGCAAGCGTTTCAGCTCTAGAATGTTCTCTTCCAGAGAAAAGATGCGGTATCTGTTAGATGCAGTTGTATTGGGATCAAATGTCTTATCTCTTAAGCCCTTCTCTTGAGTTTTTAAACTATTTGGGGGATATTTTAACTCCGACTACCCTCTCCCCATCCTGAAAACCTGGGAGTGGGTCTGCTAGTCCCATTTTACAAGCACCTGGATTGAGAAAAAAAAAAAAAAAAGGAACGCTTTGCCTTGTTCCAGCTAGTTGTCTACACTTCGGTCTTCCCATTCATGGTGCCTTTTCTTCTTGACCAATGTTGTGGATTTCCCATTTGTAAACTGAAAAACGGTAATAAATTTGCTTTGGTCTTTGTGCAGCTCTCTGAGAACTGAGGCCTGCTCCTGCTGGGGCCCTGTGGCTGTGCTGTGCCAGCTGGCACTCGAGCGATTTAACGCCTAGAAGCATATTCCTTCCCCATGATAAGCAGAAAAGGGAAGGACTCGAGCAGGGAGATTGGAGTCTCTCCAGGGACCAGACTGGGAGAAGACAGGGAGCAGTCTGTACTCCACGGACTGTTCTGGCAGAGGCTGCCAAATGGGCAGGCTGCCAGGAGCCTCGAGGCCTGGATATCCATTTCTCCTGAAGAGGCATAGAATAGTAGGGAGGGCAGGGCTTTGGAGGCTGGGGTCAGGAAGGGGTCAACCGAAGACTCCTCGCTTCCTGTGGGGAGTGAGGCAGTGACCACCTCTGAGTCTGACCTTTTCCTCTGCAACCCAGTGAGGTGGCGCCCCAACCCCTGTGTCCTGCCCTGAACTCACTGAAGAGTTGCTTGACGACCAAGGGGTGAGGACCCCACAGGCCGTGCCCTTCCTGCCTCCTCACAGTCAGCACGCAGGACCTCCAGGGCTCAGACGCAAGATCCTGGAAATGTGGAAAAGTTTGCATGCTTTGGTGCCTTCCCAGGAATACACAAGGAAGGCTTTGTGGTTTCCCATGATGCCCCCATTCCCAGCCCACATACTTCTGCCTGGAGTCACTAAAGCAAGCCCCGGTAATCCCTTAATAGCATGGCACTGTTTACAGTGTGCGTGGGTAGACGTTATCTCATCTGGATCCTCCTCCCCCGACCCCACAATCCTATGAGGTCGATGGTGTGACTGTGATGACATCCCACTGCACAGGTCTGGGAACTGAGACTTGGGGTTTAAGCCATTTCCCCGTATCCCGCAGCTAGAAAGGACAACTGAGTATGAAACCTGACGGATCCATCCCTAGACTCAGTGCTCTTTCTACTCCCCCATGATGCTCCTCAGGCTCCCAGGGTTCTAAGACAGGTGCCTGAGGGCTGGTTCGAGAGGTGGAGGAGGCAGGGGGGACTCGACTTTCCACTTCTGCTTCACCCTGGACTGTTCTGCTCTCATCTCATCTCTTTTTTTTAATGTTGGGACTTTACTAAAAAATGCTTCAGTTTAAAACTTATGCTACAAACCTCTGTGTTTAGCAGTTTTAGGAGAGTGTGAGCAAAGGGTTGGAAAAGCTCAAAGCATTGCCCATCAAACCCCTCTCCCAGCTACAGACATGGATTTTTGCTCCATTAAGATGCAGCCAGGGAGTGAGAAGCCATCAGAACACCACCAGCTGCAGAGATTGCTGATGGCTAGGACAGTGGTTCTCAAACTGTGGCCACCAGGCAGGAGCCGGGAACTTGTCAGAAATGTAAATCCTCCACCCCACCCCCAGCCTACTGAAGCAGAAACTCCAGACTGAGGGCCCGGCATGGATAGTTTACCCAGCCCTCCAGGTGATCCTGATGTGCACTAAAGTTTAGAAACCCTGGGCTAGGGCTTAGGGCAGGACACTGACTACGAAAAATAGGGCTCCCAGGCAGCTCCTGGTACCCTGCTCCGCCTTCCAAGCCCCAGCCCTAACTTACTAAAACCTGTCTTCCTTAGTATTTCAGAATTAGGTAAATCATTATAGTGGACATGAGGATTCACACAAGCCTCCAATCTTTCCTCTCCTGTGAGAGGTTCTGAGGTGGGGAAAGGGGTTGGTCATGGTTTGAAGAGATGGGATCCTCAGAGGCAAACACCAGCAATTGAGGAAGGTGGCCCTGGTGCAGCTTCAGGAAGTGGGGTTCCCTGGCTTCTCACATCCTGGGGCAGTCTGTGGTGCAGCATGGGTGCAACTCCTGCTGTCCAGCTGTGCATTTCATAGACCCATGTGTGGTAGCCCCTGTCAGTTTAAGGTAAGGCAAGAGTCCCACAAAGGAGTTAGGATATGCAAGGGACTGGAAATTGCTCTTAGTGCCTACACGACAGTCAGTCTGTTGACAAATATGTATTGAGTTTCTATTATGTAACAGGCCTGGGGTACAAAGGGTCTGCCCTCAGAGTTTCAGTATAGGAAAGAAAGAAAAATGGATGGATGGATGGATGAATAAATAGATGACTGATTGACAGGCATACACACATACTCATACACACATACATATACAAGCATACAGAAGATAACTTCATATAGTAATAAAAACTCAAAAAAAATAAATAGGGTAATGTATTGGAGAGTGACTTGGGGACATGAAGTCTGCTGCAGCTAAAGTAGTCAAAAAAGGCCTTCCTAAAAAGGGGACATTTGATCGGAGACCTTGAAGATGAAGAGGAGCCAAATATAGATCTGGGAGAAGAAAGTGATGAATAGAAGGAATAAGTACAAGCATCTTGAATATCGAATAAACTTGTTATGCTTAAGAGATGACCAGTATGGCTGCAGGGTAGAGAATAAGAGAGAATATGGTGGGATGTGAAATAAGGCCACTGTAAAGAGTTTGGATTTTTCACTATTTGTAATGGACGTCATCAGAAAGCTCAAGCATACAATTATGATCATTTGCTTTAGTTTCTGTTGTTCATTTGTCTCATAAGTTTTTTTTTAATTGAGGTATAATTTATCTATAATTGAACAACTCCTAAGGGTGCAGCTTGATGAGCTTTTACCTATGCGTAATCACCAGCTGGATCTTTAAAGATCCAGGCTTTTAAAGATCATTCTTTGTGCTGCTCAGAGAATGGGTTGAGGGTAAGTGGGCAATGAGGATGATGGGGATACCAGTTAGAAGGCTGCTGCAATCTGCAAGATGTGATGGAGCTTAGAATAGGGCGGCAGCAGTGGAGGTGGTGAGAAGTAGTTGGCTAGGTTGCATTTAGAAATAGAGGTGATAGGACTTGGTGCAGAGGATGTGGGATGTGAAAGAGAAAAATGGAGGAGTCTTCCCAAGTGAGCAGCCTGAGGAACTCAATATGGTGGCACTGTTTACTGAGATAAAGGGAGACTTCAGAGATTTGCAGCATACTAGGATTGAATCATTTTATAGCAAAACTCTTATGTGTGTCTTAGAATTTTACCACCACCCAAAGAATCAAAATTATTGCTTATATGTGCCTTTGGAATACTGCAGCTGAATAATCGCCTAAGCTGAGCTCAATTGGACTTTTATAGCATGCAAGTATTTAAGTAGATATAGGTAGACAAAGCAAGCTAGTAACGTCAGCCAACAGACCAAGCACTTCCCAACTGGGCTGAAAATATAGACAGAAACCAGACCTAACCCTGCTCTCCTTCCTGCCTTATAGATTCTGATGTCAGAGCCAGGGAAGTTGCTACAGAAAGTGAAGGTGTGGCTGCAGGAGTACTGGAATGTCACGGACCTCATTGCCATCCTTCTGTTCTCTGTTGGAATGATCCTTCGTCTCCAAGACCAGCCCTTCAGGAGCGACGGGAGGGTCATCTACTGCGTGAACATCATTTACTGGTACATCCGTCTCCTAGACATCTTCGGCGTGAACAAGTATTTGGGCCCGTATGTAATGATGATTGGAAAAATGGTAAGCAGGGTCTTCTGATTCCATGTTATAAGCTTTCAGAGGAGGAGTGGTGGATAAAAGATAGAGGGAAATAATTATTTTGGGCCTGCTA